CTTTCTTTCTTTCTTTCTTTGTGTTCTTCCATGAATGTTTAGGATTTATCGTCTGAATCACTTCTTAATTACAGGCTTTGGGTGTTATTTTAAACTATTTTTCACCAGGGGCAAACTCGTGGTTTGAAACAATGCAAAGAAAAAAGGCGTTAAGAACTAATAACCATTTGAATTAAGTGTCTCCAATAAACAAAAATCTCTTATAGAGAGAATTTGAAAATCAAGTTTAATGCCTTCATTTCATCATGCAATCTCTGAGTTAAAATTAAGATCCTTTAAAATGTCTATTTTGCAATAAAGATAAAATATTTCAAACTCAAATATTTCTAAATGAAGCATACCACATAAAATCATCATTTCTCTAATTAGATAAAAATCATTCTGTTTAAGATTGTGTGAAACCCATCACTCATGCCTGTAATCCTAGTCACTCAAGAGGCTGAGCTCCAAGGATCACAGTTCAAAGCCAGCCTGGGCAGGAAAGTCTGTGAGACTCTTATCTCCAATAAACCACTAGAAAACGGGGAGTGGTGATGTAGCTCAAGTTGGGTGCTAGCCTTGAGCTGAAGAGCTGAGGGACAGCGCCCAGGCCCAGAGTTCAAGCCTACAACTGAAAAAAAATCCCATCAATGAACTTTTCAGCTGTTGCTGAATAACTAGAAAGGGCATAAGAAAACGATTGTGTGAACGTTTGTGGGACTGTAACCTAGTTGATGCTGGAATTAAGATAAATCGCAGTTAACATTTTGTGGATGACTTCTAAGAGCTCCTCAAGAAGATATTTAAGCACTCTGCGGCACTTTTGTCCACATAACTGGCTTTCTGTTCCATTCTTTGCTGGCAGCAGCTCATTACCAACTGTGTGTCAGGCACAGAGGCAAAAATGGAAGTGTAAAAATGACTCTAAAAACAGCCTGTTCTCAAGTAACTCACAAAAAATTAAGTCAATCAGCGATCACAATAGAAGCTGACAAATAAAATGATGTTCCACCTGTTGGGATAGAAGACTAAGAGCACCAAGTGTAGCTACCTGGAGGGATGGGAGACCCTGATAGAGGGAGCTATTAGAGCAGGCTGCCTGCATAGAAGGCATAGTTCTGACCATGAAAGTTAGACTCATATTAGCCAAAGCAGACAGAGAGTGGAGAACCAAGACTGTTGACCATCTCTACCTTTATTTCATTTGCTGGGGAGGTTTATGAGTATATTACATGGACGGCTGAGTTCTGTGCTTGGCATTGATGATTAGCAGCTATAAAACCTCATGCCTTAACACTGTACTTTCTGTAAGGCATGTTCCCATACCATTATTGAACCTTGTAGAATGATGACCTGGTTCATTTTGATTTTTGCATTGTCAATCTCTTAAGCAATGAAAATCCTCTTAACAAATACAGTTTTTCTGAATTTCTTTTTCCTTCCTCTAAGACTCTTTTCTTCCTTGCAGCTCCATTCTTTTCATTTTGTTGCTCACTCTTCTTTTCTCACTTTAAAAATCTAATCTACAAATATTACCTGGTGCATGGTAAAAAATGTTTTTTTTTTTTAAATTGAATAACACTTCGTAGCTGGGTTTTTTAGTCTTTAAGTGCAATTCTTTTTTTCTTTTTTGTCAGTCATGGGGCTTGAACTCAGGGATGGGTGCTGTCCCTGAGCTTTTTCACTCAAGGCTACTGCTCTACTACTTTGAGCCACACTGCTACTTCTAGTTTTCTGGTGATTAATTGGAGTTAAGCGACTCATGGACCTTCCTGTCCCAGCTGGCTTCAAACCATGAGCCTCAGATCTCAGCCTCCTGAGTAGCTGGGATTACAGGTGTGAGCCACTGGCACCTGACTTTAAGTACAATTCTGAGATTTAGAAAATTTTGAGGAAATAATGTAATGAACCTTTCTCCTGTTTTGCTCTAATCCAATTAAAGCAAAAACAGAAGGAGCAATGGGGAAAGCTCAGGCTCTGTCTCTTTTTTGAAACAGGAAGTGGGTCACATTGAAGCTTAATTTTACCCCAAAAGCCCATAATAGGACAAGGTGTCAGGACAAAGCCAGCATAGATGTGTTTTGTTTTTTGTTTTTAAATAAGTTTTTTATTGTGAAAATGCTGTACAGAGGGATTACAATTACATGAGCAAGGTAATGAGTACATTTCTCATCAAGCATTGTTACTTCCTCCTTTGTGTTTCCCCTACCATCCCTTCCCTCCCATCTCCACAACTACACTCCCCCCCCACCTAAATTGTAAAGTTCATTTTCAACATAGCGTCTTGTACAAGCATACATGTTTTTTTTTTATATTTATTTTGCAAATATTTATTTTGTAGACCCTCATTTTAGGTAAATTTCTCCTGGATTTTGTTTGGACAAGTTCTTCACCCCTTCTTCCAGATAAGTAAGACATTATTTAGTGAGTTATAGATCATTGATCTTTAAGTTGTTAAGTGGTCCAGATTATTTAAGGTAGCCAGTTTCCAATTCACTCACGAATTTCATATCTGCGCCAATATATTAACAAAGGGCAGGAGGAATGGTTCAAGTGGTAGAGCTCCAGCTAATCTTTCACCAAGGAGAAGGTTATATATCTTAAGTAGGAACCTTAAATAGTTTATATCTCCAGTAGTCATTTTAATGTCACAATACTTAAGTAGATGTATGGATTATTTTGCCCACATAGTCTAATGGACACACAATAGTTAACTATTTACTTTTTTCCCCCAATACCAGTCAGAGCTTCAAACCTACAAGATTCATAGGACTACACTGATTTGTAGAAGAGTTGATCATTCTGAGTTAGTTGCAGTGGCTCTCAGGTGTTGGAAGTTTTGCACTTCGGTCTCTCTCGTTAGTGGCCATTCTGCCACTTCCTCCGAGCTTTGCATGCTTGAAACGGACGGGAGAGCGTGACAGCTACATGGTAATGGGATAATCGTGCTGTCATGGAACAGAAGCATGACGTTCTTTGCTTTCTGCTGCGGGAGATGGAGGGTAACCAGAGCACACTGGAGTCTAGATACTTAATTCTATTGCTCACATAAAATTAAAAATGGAAGAACGGCATAGAGTTGCTATCTTTTTCTCTTTGTTGTTGTTTATTTATTTATTGCTATGAAGTCAGGCTAGACTCTCTATGTGGCCCATGAGAACTGCTCTCTTTCTTTGGCTATTAAAACTGGAAACTTCCTAAAGACAAAAGTTATGTATAGTACCACCCTCTGTCCCTTCCCCCATTTTTTTTTAACAAAGGCATCTGTTTCAGAGTCAAAATGAAGCAAGGAACTAGGCACCAGTGCTTTATGCCTGTAATCCTAGCTATTCAGGAAGCTGAGATCTGAGGATTGGGGTTTAAAGACAGCCCAGGCAGAAAAGTCCATGAGACTCTACTCAGAAATAGCCACAAGTGGCACAATGGTTCAAGTGGCAGAAAGCTAGCTTTGAGTACAAAGAAGCTCAGGGATAGTGCCCAGGCTCTGAGTTCAAGCCCCAGGACTAGCGAAAAAACCCAAACCCAAACCGAAAAAAAAAACCCAAACGAAAGAAAACCACAAAAACCAAAAAAACAAACCCCAAACCCCAAACTAAAAACCAAACAAACAAAAAACCCAGCATAGCAAGGGTAAAATCTCAGAGTAAATGGAGTCTGTTCCAAGAGAGTTCCTAGTGACACGGTATTTGATGGTTTCCCTGTCACTGTGTTGCCAGGAGCGGCCTTTTTCCTGTGGACTGTGCCTTAGGGCCTGCAGTCAGGGCCTCGTGTTGTAACTGTTCCTTTGACGGTGCTGCAGCTCTTGGTTTTCCCTCTAATGAATTAAGAGGCTATAAAGGTATTTTGTTGTGAGATTTTTGTCCAAGTTTTAAAATGATCAAAGAATTAGGGTTGACATCTCACCTAGCTTGAGTATTATGAGGTGACCTTGGCCAGTGCTGAGAAATATGTAGTTAATATTCAGAGTTTAAAATGTGGGTGTTTTGTTCACCTCACAGATCTCACTAACTTAACAGGATTTGGCTTCCTGTCTGGCTCCAGCTTTGACTTTTTCTCTTTCCCTTTTTGTTTACTTATTTTCTGGTAGCGCTAGGACTCAAATCCAGGGTCTACTTGCATGGTAGATAGATGTTCTACCAGCGAGCCACACTTCAGCCCCCTCCTCTCTCTTTTCCCTTTTCTCTTTCTCTCCATTTCTCTTTCTCCCCTTCTTCCCTCCCTCCCTCCCTCCCTCCTTTGCTCCCTCCCTCCCTCCTTTGCTCCCTCCCTCCCTCCCTCCTTCCCTCCCTCCCTCCCTCCCTCCCTTCCTTCCTTCCTTCCTTCCTTCCTTCCTTCCTTCCTTCCTTCCTTCCTTCCTTCCTTCCTTCCTTCCTTCCTGCTTTTCTTCCTTCCTTCCTTATCATGTTTATAAAGGTTTTTGCTCTATCAGTATGAATTCATTGATATGTTACACTTTATTTTGTTTGCTCAAGGCACATTTTAATATTCTAAAGAAGGGCTGGGAAGGTGGCTCAGTGGCAGAGTGATAGTCTTGCATGCATGAGGACCTAGGTTCAATTCCTCAGTACCATATAAGCAGAAAAAGCCAGAAGTGGCACTGTGGCTCAAGTGGTAGAGCGCTAGCCTTGAATTGAAGAGCTGAGGGACAGTGCTTAGGCCCAGAGTTCAGGCCCCATGAAAGACAAAAAAAAAAAAAAAAAAAAAAATTCTAAAGAATGCTTCAAAAAAGCCTTTTAAATATCTAGAGAGGACTGAAAAGTATGGTAAATTGTGATGTGGAGACTTTTCAGAACTTCGAATGGTGAATGCAAAGTTACACAAATCTTCTCCAGAGAATGACACCTGGGAGTTGTCGTGCCAAAATAAACATTACACCTTCATCTTTGTAAACGTCTATTCCTGCTTGCTCTCCTCTTGAAGCAACACTGAGGGGCTCTTGTTAGACAGGAGCAGAGGAGAGGGATGGCTTAATCACCATTTTCTTGTATTCTCTTTTGTTTTGTTTTGTTTGTGGAACACAGACTGCCCGGCAAGCATCTTCATCCTCACCCAAGCTGGGTGCGGCCTCTAGCTGCTCCTCTTTGGAGAGTAAAATAAAGACACCCAGCAGCTTTTCTTCCTCGGCATCCAAAGAAAGGCAGTCCTGGCTTGACATCGCTAACAGCTCACCTGCAGCCGAAGATGTGGGGCAGCCCCCGATGTTTGCTGTACAGGTCCATGAGCCGGCACGGCCCTCAGAGGCACACAGTCACAGGGCCTCCGAAAACAGCTCCATTGTCTCAGAAAGTGGGTTTTTGAACTCTTTGTCTAGTGATGACACATCTTCATTGAGTAGCAATCAAGACCATCTGACCATCCCAGACAAATCTACTGGATCAAGGATGACAGATAGAGGTAAACCAAAAATGCATCTACTTGTCTATAAACTGAATATTGGTAGGTTTATTATGTGAGTCTGTAACCAGAATGTTTCAACTCATCAATGGTGACTCAATCATTAAACAGCTCTTGGGCCTGGGCCTAGGGTTGCTTTTGTAGAACTTGCCTGTGACAAAGATATATGCCGGGTCAATAATTGCTGGCTGTTGAATGTGACTCACCAAATGCTCTAGGGCCATAAGACATTTGTTCGTTAATGATACTTCTCCACCAATTCGAGAAAAACATGAACTCTTTTTCTTCATTCATATCCTTTTCTCTGGAACATAGTGGTGATTAAATCTGTAGTCTAAGATTCATAATTTCTCTTTGATGGCTCTAACTATGTTGAGAACCACCACCCTCCTAGATACTCCGAGATGGTATTAGTCCTGGCCATTGGCTCCTGAGTTCACCTGTGTGATCAGTGGAAGGATGGATCTACATGGCATGCTAACCCCTTTAGGTGTGAAGGAGAGAGATGGAAGATAGGAAGTGACAGTGCGCATCTACCACGGGCAAAACCACACCAAAGGAGAAAGCAAAACAGCCAGCCAACCAACAAACCCCAAAAGAAAGCGCAGCTTACCTTTTTGGAAAACATTTTAAGTCTTAACAAAAAACCAAGGAGTAAGGGCATGCAGAAATTAATCATGTGAATTTAAAAATATATAAGATAGTTATTCCTTTTCTTTTGTTCAGGTCTAGCCTCCTTGTAGTATTATTCGGTCATGTGCCTTTTCTGAATGTTGAGTCTTCATTTGTGGGTAAAATAGGCTTATCTGATGTAAGGTGTGGATCAGTGAACTTGGGTTGTGTTTTCTTACTGTACTATCCGTAGAAAGTGGCTGTGCAGTATTGCTGTAATAGCTATCCAGTGTTCTCTAATGACATAACTGGATATGCTCACCTCGCTTAAAATCAAAGATGGTATCTTTCAGTTCTCAAATTTTCAGAGGCATCCTATTATTATAATTTTTGGTTTGAGAAAAATTTAGGTCAAGGGTTACAACTGCAGATTGATTTGTCTCTCTCTCTGTCCCTCTCTCTCTATGAGTATGCAGTGTGTATGTACGTGTGTGTGTGTGGTGCTTCCAAGTATGTGAGCGTGAATTAGAGCAATCAGGTTGGTAATATCTTCTCCAGGTCACCCCAGCTGTCATCATTCCCTAAGGTACTTGGGTTACCTGCCTGGCCACTTTTGTTCTGTACCCCCAATCTAGTACTACTTTCTATTGTACATCAGAAAAACTTCAGTGGAGGAAGTCATTTCTAGAAGGGGATAGTGGTAGAGTAAGTAGAAAAGCAAAAGGAGACAACATCACTGAAGAAAATAAAGGAATGGAAATTGGACTGTGAGGACTGACTAGATAGATCTGGGGTGGCTTTGCGTTTGTGAGGTTGTGAGGAGCTTTGGTGCAGAGTAGTGGAGTCAGCTGTGGTTCCTTGAGAGTAGGAAACTGGTCAGTGGTACAAGTGAAAAAGGTGTAGATTCAGGTTCAGGTTCTGCTTGAGAAATGTTAAGAAACATTCTGAGCTGTTCAGATAGAGTAAGCTCCTTGAAAAGTTCACACATCTCCATCCTCAGAGTTGTTTGTTCATATGGAAATGACAGCTTTCCTCAAACGCTGATTACACATTGCACATGGATCAGTTTTTGTTCTTGGGAAGATTTACCAAAGAGAGAATCCAGGCACCTTGATCTAGATGCCTTCTAGCTTAATGCTTAGAAGATCTCTTCAGACATAGGATTACTTGAACTTAATAAAATAATAAAAGTGTGACATCCATTATTTCCCTATTAAGAACTCATATTCACAATCAGACTAGAAATAGAGGTAAAAAAGGTTTCCATGTGCACAAAGATATAGCCACACCTTACTTGATAAGCAAAGCTCCAAAAGCCTCAGAGATACTAAAGTTCCATTTACATTTTGTCCTGAGGGAAAACCCTGGAGGCTGAGATTTATCCTTTAGGATTAATATGAGAGTCATGAGAAGATGCCTGCAGTTGTTGGCTGTGTATAAACGTGGTTCAGGAACTAAATGGGCTGAAAGCCTGGCTGGGGACCAGTCTCTCTCAGTCTAAGAATGAGGAAACCTGATATTACTTAAGTTTGAGTTACATGTGGAGTGACCAGCAAATTCTGCATGTGTCTTCAGACAGCTTGGAGTGAAGGTATTTCCCTGGGCAGAGATGAAGGGAAAATGAAACAACTTTTCCCTCCTCACTGATTTGTTGGCAGCTGCCATATGTTACAGATTTCTGGTGATGATTTCCCCCTGCTGCCAGGGATTTGGTTAAATTCCCAAAAGAGATGAACCACCTAAAGTCGTCTCCATGGAAACAGCAGCCCAATCGTTGCCTGGGTTTGTGATGAGTTGCTGTTGAGTAATCAAGTTGCACATTGAGCTTTTTGTTTTTTAATGTGTCATTGTGTGTTGGAGAAGAAGGTAGCTTTTCATTTTTGTGACTTCTAAAAATAATAATTCACTTAATTGTCAATGTAATTAAAAAGCCCTAAGATTCTTGGGTGTGAACCATTTTTCAGGGTCTTTTTCAATCAGGGATTGAAGTTTTCAATAAGATCCAAGGTAGAAGTTAAAATTTGAGAAGATTAAGTCCTAGTCACCAGAGGCACTTGCTGGAGGAACATGCATTTATCCCAGGGAAGATTCTTAAAGGTTAATAACTGAGTCCTGAGACAAGCAGACAGCATGTATTATAGCCTTTCTTTTATTTAGACAAGGAGAGAAATATTTTGCAGTTAGTATACAATTAAAATTGTGGTTGGTAGAATTTTATACTGAATTTAAATATCCTTTTAAACATCTTAGACATTTCTTCCTGTAGTATAAGCTATTAAAAAAAAAAAAACCACAAAAGGGTGTTAATTGTATCCTTTTTCTTTTCTACACTGAGAGTTTCAGACTTCCCGAGCTCTAGGGATTCTGTCCTAGCTTTCAACACAGCACAGCAAGAACAGAGATCATGCTTTAGTTGTTATTTATCATGGGAATATTTTGTTGGTCCTTAGTTATGAATGATAGCGATACTGGATGGAGTAATCTAGATAATCGTTGTGTTCTGTTACTGCTTTAAATATATAATTCCATAATCTTCTTGATTTTGGTTTTCATGGAGAGATCTACTCTTGTTGTGATGGACTTCAGTTTACAGTTGACTTGGCACATCTCTCTTGCAGCCATCTTTCAGTATTCTTGTTCTTGTCTCTAATGCCTTAATTATAATATACCGTGGTGGTGGTGGGGTCTCTATTCTTTTATTTCCTTTTTTTGGGAGTGTGGGGTTCTGCAGTTCTAAAGATTTCCTGAACTTGGATAAACATCTCTTTTTAAAGATTTTTAGAACTCTGCTATTCTTTGGTTAAATATATTTCCCATGCCTTAGGCTAGTACTTCTCCTATGCCTATGATTCATAGGTTTGGTCTTTAAAATGGATTCCTAGAGTTCTTATATCATACTTTCTTTTATTGTTTTTTTAAAAATTTTATCGTCAAGTGTTGTACAAAGGGGTTACAGTAACGTAAGTAAGGTAGTGAGTACATTTCTTGTCAACTTGTTACTCCCTCCCTCATTGTTCTCCCATTTTCCCTCTCCTCCTTCCTCCTCCCTCCTTCCCAAGTTGTACAGATTATTTCCAACATATTCTCTTGAGAGTATCACTGTTGCCTTGGGTCCTCCTTTGTCCTTTGTCTCACCATTTTGTTGTTTCCCCTTCCCTTTCCTAATTCAGCTAAATTGGTACCCAGGGTACCAAATTCTTTTTGTCCTCTCCTGGTTTGTCTATAGTGTTTATCTTGTCTTCCAGCACTAAAATTATCTTCCATTTTATCTACTATGTGAGGACTGCTTTCAACTGTATTTATTTCTTTGATATTTTGAGCTTTTCAATCTCTTTATTCTCTGTTTAAGGCAATGTCTTGTTTTGCAACCCAGGTATATCTCAAACTCAAGATTTTCCTGCATCTACCTTCTAAGAGCTGATGTTATAAATATGTGCTGCCAGATCTGAGTCTATTTTTCTATGTACTAATACAGATATATAGATACAATACACTAGGTTTTATTTATTTATTTATTTTGCTGGTCCTGGGGCTTGAACTCTGGACCTGGGCACTGGCTCTGAGCTTAGCTCCACCACTTGAGTCACAGTGCTACTTCTGGCTTTTTTGAATAGTTTATTGGAGGTAAGAATCTCATGGACTTTCCTGCTGGTGTGAGCCACTGATGCCTGGCAAGGTTTTATATTAAATACAAACATTATGCATAGTTATTTATAGTTTGATTTTCCCCTCATAAAAACCTTCCTCGTTAGTACAAACAGATCTGTCTCATTACTGTTTTATAATAGCACAGTTTTCTGTGTTATAGTGCTTTTACCAATTCAGTCTTGCCAGCTATTCTTCAGTTGATAGGAATTTAAGATGTTAATTTGTCACCATTATAAAGAGTAATACAGAACTTGCTTTTTTTTTGGGGGGGGGGGGTCCAGTTGTGGGGCCTGAACTCTGGGCCTGGGCGCTATCCCACAGCTCTTCAGCTCAAGGCTAGCGCTCTACCACCTGAGCCATAGTGCCACTTCTGGCTTTTTTTCTTTTTGCTTATGTGGTGCTGAGGAATCGAACCCAGGGCCTCAGGCATGCACGGCAAGCACTCTACCACTGAGCCACCTTCCCAGCCCCTACAGAACTTTCTTATATGTATCACATTATGCATTAGTGCTATTATTTCTTTTGAGGTAGTTTTGATGACATCATCTTGTTTAGACTATAACACATAAAATGTTGAGATACACAGAAAGTGTGTTTTCAGCCTCAGTTATAAGTTGAATGAGTTTAGGGAAACTAATGTACACCATGGTAACTATAGTTAGCAGCACTTAACAGCATACTTAAAATTTGTTTATGTGTGGCGATCACAAAACAAGTTATTTAAAAAAATGTCACTAGGC